AAATTTTTTACTTTTTTTAACTTTTATTTTTGTTTAATTTTTTTTATTTCTACTTAGATTTTAATTTTATTCTTACAATTTTTTTTAGTTACTTCAGCTCCTTCTCCTAATTTTCTTTATTTATTTCTTATTTTTCATTGTATTCTTTCTTTAATTTTCTTCCTATAATTTTTTGTTTAATTTTTATTTCCGGGTTTTTAGTTGCATTTTTCCTCTTTATTTTTCAGATTTTAGCTTTTATACACAATTTTTTATTTTTTTTTCTCTTAATTTTTAATTTAATTTCTTTATTTTGTTTTTTAATTTCTTTGATTTCTCACTTTAATTTATTAGTTACTAATTGAATTATAATATTTAATTTTTATTTTCCATTTAATATTTATAAATAAATAAATAAAATGACTTTCAGTAAATTTTAATCCGGTTTTTTTTTTTTTTATTTTACTATTTTTTTATTCCTTTTTTATTCGTTTCTAATTTTTTTTTGTATTTTTTATTAATTTTTAGTTTTTATTCAATTTTTAAATTTCATTTTTATTTTCATTTTTTTTTTTGTCAAATTAATTTACTTTCACAAACCACTTTTTTTACTCTCTTAAACCATCACTGTGTTTCGCCGTTGAAATTTACTATAAATAATTTCAGAAATTTTTTTCTTAAGGACATATATACTAAATAAACTAATTTCTAAATATAATAGAGGAATTTCCACTAACCGGTCTCACTGAAAAGCAATTAGATTACTCTTTGAAAATTAATATAAATGAAATTAAATATTTATATTGTACAAGGATAGCGATTTTGTCTTTTGAATGCAAAATAAATAAATATGCATTAATTAATCATGAGTGAGTAGCCAATTAAAGGACATGGGCGTACAAATGTTAATTTTTGGGGGATAATTGTTTTATGGAAAGGTATTTTTTAGTACTCGAAAGAAATTGCTTGCTTTAAAGAGTAAAGAGCTTTACCAAAATCATATTATGGGGACTTAGTTCGACGAAATCCAATAAAATTCCGGACTCAAATGGAAGTCGGGAACATTTCGGAGTTTTGTACGAATGCCAGAGTATAGCTTCACACCTTATTAGCGCCTGAAAACAAAGAACAGATTGCTGAGTCTTCAAAAAAATATATTTTCGGTTTTATGTTTTCAAAATTTTAATGTTTTCAATTTAGCAATTCAATAAGAAGAATGCTGCTTTGTTAATAATCGCCATATTACTACTACATTCTATAATAGCCATACTATTGTAGCTTGGTTTCTTCATCAAATTTAGAAAAATTCGTTAACCAAAAAGCTCCGAAACCAGATTTATAAGCTTCGTTCGTTTCTATCAATAGAACTGAATCATAATCAGATCATAGTAATCCAACGGTGGATGATGCATTTATATCTTCCGGGAAAGTTTTTTTGAGGATGAAAACAAGTAAGCTTGTTAGATATTCCCTCCGTAAATCATATCGTTTTCATACTCTCATAACAATTTTGTTCCAGTAATCAGCTTCTCGATTGAATTTTTCGGAATTGGATTATTATGTTAAGAAGTTGTTATTAGGTCCCACAGCACAACTATATCGTCTCTCAGAGAGCAAGAGTGCGAGTCGAGTAGACCACCGTCCGGCTGTCTGTTTAGATTGTGGCTTATTTACTTCGTACTTTATCTGTGTTTGTATAGGAGATTTTCTCTATCTCCAGAGGCGATCGTACTGTATACATGTTTTGAAACTCTTGCAATATGGCTTACGACTTGTGACAATTAAGTAATGAAAATAAAATAAATAAAAACCGTATATTTAAAAAGTAGTCTACAACTCTGCCATCACCTTCAAATTAGTCCCCTTGAGCAGCTATACAACGATTCCAGCGCGTTTTCCATGTTTCGCAAATATTTCTGGAATGCCTAGATGTCATCAAACGACTCAAAATGAGTTCCTTTGATCACTGAATTTCCTCTAGGGAACAAAATAATAATCACAGGGTGACATATTGGGGGAATAAGGCGGTTGTTGCAACACGGCGATCCCTTTAGAGGCCAAATACTGGGAAACGCTGAGAGCGGTGTGATACGGTGCATTGTAATGTTGAAGGATCTAGTTACGATCGTTGTCTGGGCGCACGCTGTTGAATCGTTTTCGCAATCTCCCAAGTACTTGGCGATAGTAGACTTAATTTACGGTTTGCCCCGGTGGATGAAATTCTTTGTGGACAATTCCAGGGCTATCAAAGAAGACAATAATCAACGCTTTCACCCTCGACTTGCTCATACGAGCTTTCACGCCCCTCCGTAAACTCTTTACGCCATCGAAACACATGTGCACGACTAAGAGCATTATCACCATGCACTTTTATTTAAGCGTACGTTTCGGAAGCTGTTTCGCCCAATTTGGCGCAGAATTTTATCGCGACGCGTTGCTCTTGATTTCGTTTTTCCATTTTCATGACGAGCACCACGAACACACGTTTGCTCAACACGACACAGGAGGCGAACAAAACAAGCTAGAGCGATGGAAAATATATCAATGGGGTATAGAAAGATGCCGGAAAAAGGTAAATGAAATTTCAAGGTCGCAGGGTTACCACAATCGCGACACCATAATCAGTCACACCTCGTAGCTCATCCTTTGCTCATTTCTAAATATTCCATCGTGGTTGATGAATTTCCAGACTGCTAGGCAAAATAATCTTCCACTTTCACACTTTTCATTTTAAATAACAACATTTTCCTATAGTTGTTGTAAAATCGCCCTGAGGAGTATGCTCTGGCTTGATGGGGGCTCATCGTAGTATTTGACAATGCTAGATGACAGAGTTTCTCTCCTGTTGCAAACTTCTGAACTTTTACATATACTGTTAAAGCTTCTCATCCGATCCTTCCAGGTTTTGTGCATTTTAGTCAGATTTTTAAACTAATAGTAGAAAATACAGAACTTTTGCAAGCCAGGGTCCGAGTCCTGATCCGACTAACAGCCAAAATTATAGAAAATAGCTGAAAATGTGAAGCTCTCCGAGTGTATTCAATGCATTTATTGAAGAACATCGAGACGCTTACCACGAATTGGAGGAGGAGCTCGACCGTAAATGTTAGCCCACACTCGTTAACTCTTCCGTACCCATCTCAACCAAGTTTGCATAGATTTTGTATAGATCGTATTGTGGGTTCAACTAAGTACAGCCTGCCCATAAGAATATGCTTTGAATAGAACTTTGCAAGTTGTTAAAGGCATACAAATCTTTATCCAGAAAAGTCTTATTAAACGTGATTTCCCTATCAGTTTCGACTGGCTTACAATTTACCTCTACACCAATACAGCCAAGAATCCACTTGAGAGACAGAGCTAAGTTTAACCACCTCCTATAGATTTCGGTGATAATCCAAAAAAAAATTTGAATTTGTTTTAAGCCATCCAAGCGTGTTAATCGCAGATTGAAGGAGACGATCAGCAGAGATTTTTGCTGTTTGGAACTGAAATGAACTCGGCATCGATTAGACCAGTTCCATTCCTTTGTGTGAAGTATGGAAGATAATCTTCAACTCAAGGCTTTCCTCTACTTATAAGGTAGTAAAAGAAATTATTGATGAGTGAATTCCGCTTTTCAGTCCATCTGGTGTTTCTTTAAGGGCAAGGAAGAGATGTTTTTCCAATAAGGAAATAAGTCTGAACGGGAAAATTTGCTACAATCCTCCTCATTGATTTAAGAGCAAAGGGTGATCTACCTATAAGCCCAATGTCTTTCGAAAACACCTTTGGAAAAAAATTGTCTTTCGGACTAGCTTACCTGATCTTTAGCCAGACAACGGCATAACTCTAAGCGATGCTATAGTAGCGCAGGGATAATTCCAACCGGTCCAAGAGCTGTACCTTTTTTATTTAGAAATGTCGATATATTTAGTTGTATAACAAGAAACTCGTTGGCACATGTTAGTTTCCTTAAGCATAAGTTTAAGTTTAATGATTTCTCTCCCTGTCTCTCTTTTCTCACATTGCTTAGAAGCTTTGCTGTCTAAGAGCGTTTTTTTTTCGATTCATTTTTTATTAGTATTAATTTAATTATCCTACTGTTATGACGTCAAAGGTGCTTGTGCCGCAACCGCAAATCCAAAATTTGTTCAACCAAATTTCCGTAAGGCAACCGTTAAACCAGTGCCAGGTATATTAATATATATGTATGTGCATATATATATATATATTCAACCGTCATAAAACCACGGCGTTACCTGCGGATATGTACAATAAAATTACGTATACATAGTATAATTGGAACTGAAATATTATTGTGGTTAAACAAAAGCATATGTATTATATATGTATGTGCGTATGTTTGTATGCAGCAACAAAAGCCCGCATACTCTAAATAATTAATTTCCCTAATGCTGCTAATATGATTAATTTGTATGAAATGATTTGGAAATGTCTCTGTTTCGCATTTGTTTATTTATTTTGTATGCATATAAATACAACAGCAACAACAAACCCAATAAGCATTGTATGCAATAACAAAAAATTACAATAGAATTAAATGTTAACTGATTCCTATTGTTTAATTATGTACTATTTCATTTTGATCTTCATGAGTATCAACTTTCATAAGTCCAGATAATAATTATTGAGAGAGAATCTGGGAGAAACACAAAGAGACTAATAATATAACGGTTGGAAATGAAATGAGAATTGTGATAAATGATGTCCTTACTTCTCTCATCTAACCAAAATAAAATAAAATAAAATAAAATAAAATAAAATAAAATAAAATAAAATAAAATAAAATAAAATAAAATAAAATAAAATAAAATAAAATAAAATAATACACTTTAATATAAAATAAAATAAAATAAAATAAAGTAAAATAAAATAATATTAAATTAAATAAAATTAAATTATATTTAATTAAATAAAGAGAATAAATTAAAATGTAAAAAACTAAATAAACATAAGCTCCTTCATTAACCCTCTCATTCAACGCATTATCAGAAAAGACAGTCTTCCGATTTCCCCTTCTACACTTTATTAATTTCCCCTTCCATATCGAACTGTATTAAAACCGTCACTTGCACTAGCACCACAACAATTAATGAGAAACATTGTTGCAAATCAAAATCGAGGAGTCCGCAAACAATGTAGCGCAGTCGGTGGGAACGCAAGTAAACAGCGAAGCGATCGAGCTGGAAAGAGACGAAACTAGTTAAGAACACACACAGCGCCGCACCACAACCAGCACTTACCACTGCCATAAGTTCGTAATTGTCGCGTAGCGCCACCAAAACGTTCGCGTCGCGCAATATTTGACCGCTTCTATTGCAAGAAGAAAGCAACCAAGTTAAACCAGCAATAGATGGCGCGAGACTGCCATACAAAACGACGACCAGTAATAAAGCCACCAAATTGTAAAGCGAACTCAAGTGGAATATGTGCCAAACGCAGGTATGCATCCCGGTCATATTGACAATGAAACACTTAATTAGTATGAGCAGAAAGGGCAGCTGACCGAAACCGAGCAGGCGTTGAGTCAAGCGGAAATAGGCGAAATGCGCGTTAGCCAAGCAGGACAAACGCTGCGTTAGCAAACGTAAACGCGTCCTTTCCATGGAGGCCAAGTTCCTTAGAAGCGTCAGCACGCGTTGTAATTCGCAATTGATTGCTTCGAATTTTTGCAACAAATGACAGTGTAAGCAAAGTGTATAGTAGGCCAGCATAACCTGAACGGTCGATAATGCCCAACTGACGAATGTCATGACAATATGCGCGTTTGTTTGGCGTGGAAATTGCAATAGCACATAAATCGACGTCAATGGCGTTACAATATGTTGTGTCCAGAAGTAGTAGAGCAAAAGCCAACGTGTGTGCATTGTCGTGTTGCCATCATCTGTAGGAAGGATACGCTCATACCGCCGTTCCAAGCGCCAAAAGACCGACCAAAGTTCGAACATCTCCCAACGACGCATCCAAACGAACAGAGCAAGCATTGTGAACGTTAAATATCTACCAGAATTCGTCAAAATATCTGTCCAGTGTTTCACTTCATCCCCAAATATTTCACTGGATTTTTCCAAATACTTTCTATAGGCATATGGTGTGCCGAGCGCAAAACCAAGTTGAATACATCCGCTATAGATCAGATAGAGCTGCGACTGGTGTAGCTCACCGTTGTGCCAATTATAATGCGACGGCATGAAGCCTGCGCACAAGCCATGATAGTAAGCGATGCGCAAAGTAAAATAGTGTAAGCGGCGTGTTAGTAAGTGACCCGTCGGATGCACCATTGCGTGGTGACTGTTGGTGAACGTATTTGGAGTTGGAAATAATTTAACGTCTTTTATAGGCCTTTATTTCAGTTGTAAGTAAGTTAATTTCATTAATTACTGGGCGTGAACCAGACACTATTGGTGTGTTAAGAAGTCCACCTTAACTGTGACGGGCAGTGAAGCGAGTACGTGACGCTAGGTACGCGCCACAATACTGCGCACAGAAGTTTTGCCACATCCAAATATCAAATGATGTAAATTAGTCTTAAGATTCCACTTCCGAAATTAAAATACCGAAACACTTAACCAAGTCATGCACTTTTCACAAACTCTTTCCGACAAAAATCCTCTTAATCCTCTCTTTCGGCTTGACTCACAACTAAGCAACCTGCGCTACGGGTTTTTCCAGTATACAAGATATTTGTCGGAGAATACGAACGTCTAAGATTAAAATTTTCATCTTCAAGCCAGTCTCAATCAATCCAATTGTCGTTATGAAGGCGCAAAATTCATCCGCAACCCATTCTTTTTATCAAGTAGGATTTCTCATATTATAGCAAAGCCAGCAGTCCTTTCTGCTCTACGAAGTTTGGCGCCAGTTAAAACATCAAGTGAAATCAATGAAGCTCTGTCTCTTTCTCTACTTCACCTGGTGGCTCCTGGCTCGAATCATTTTCGGTATTTATGGTCGATGACAAAATCCATGCGTCGCCTATTCAGATGTCATCATCTAACGCTTTCTGAGAAACTTGTAGAGTTTGTTTTTTTTTTGTTCGTCGAGAGAAGACTTTACTTCTCAGTTCTCCACTCTAAAATCGACAAAGAGGGGTTTTGGTTCGATGCTTTCTTCAAGAGAGATAGTGGATATCTGGTAAATGCAGGTTTTGTCAGATCTAAGCCCACACAGTACGCTCGATTCTAAGATAATTGGCGAAGATTGTACGGTAATCTTTTCTATGGATTTAACGGAATACATTTTGGTGACAATAATTAGGCAAGACTTTATTCCATCGAAACTTTTAAGTAGATATACAAGTATCTGCATTGTCAGTCTTCGGCTCCGACCGCTTTGGCCAGCAAATTCAATTTGGTCTTGTTCAGAGTCGAGTAATGGAACGTCTCTTTCATCGGGTTATCCTAGTGTTCACTACCATTCAACAGGCTGGGAAAATATTTCCTACGTAAACTCAGTTTGCTCTGTACATCGGTCACTGGATTACCTACTCGGTTCCAACTTATTAACATATGTGCCGGTAATAAAACCTACCGTAAGTCGTCGTATCTTTTCATTGATTTAAAAGTCTTATCATAGTCGGCCAACTTCTCCAAATCTCGCATTTTCCGTCTGCATATTGGTATCGCTTCCATCTTCAACTCTCGGTATTTCTTTCACCCTACACGGGTTAATGTCGATCCTAATGTTGCGAGGTAAACAGTATTTCAGTATTTTTCATTTTCTCTGCGTCATGGTTTTCTTCACGGTATTTTTTTTCTCCGCCTTTTGACTTTGCCGAAGATCTGTAGTTTCTTTTGCAGCTTTACTGTAGTGAACTTGAGACAGCTGAGTAACCTTTTTTTCGGGAACCTAGTGCTGGAAAGAAATAAATTTAAGGCCACGGTGAAGTCTAATCTAATATATTTAAAGTTGTTTCTCCTGGGAGGCTAAATTAGTCGACTGTTGTGACGAGGTTTGTTTTTTTCACCACCCACCCTGGGGAGCAACACTCACATGTGTATTGCTTGCACTTATAAAAGACATCTTTGTCCACAGCGCTTTTACTGTTCCTCCTTTGCGAGTCCCTTTAATGCGGATTATGGCAAGACGTTTATACACCAGTGTAAATGACAGAACTGTGGGCTTGAGTTTTTCTTCCATTACGAATTCGGCATCAAATTTACCCTCCTTTCCATGGACGCCGTAATTACATGTCACATGTCCTCTTCTCCCGTCCGTTTCGAGTCTTGGATGAAGGAAATGTCTGCATTAAGTGTAACAAGAACAACCACTACCCGGGTGACTTCTTCAATTTAGAGAGCGAATATACCAGATGCACTACCTCAGAAACGTTAGTACGATTGCCGTTGTCAAAATTGAAATTTCCAACTAGAGGCTTTTGTTTGGCTTTGTTTTGTAGCGGGTTCCAACCCCAGCAGCCGAGTATAAACTCGTATTCTCCAAGTCCGACAGCCTCTTGCAATCGCAGAACAGCTGAACAGACGCTGCAATAACACTGAACTCCTCAACTGAAACGCTCAAATTGACACCACTGAAGCTCGCTCTCTTTTAGACGCGACCCAAGGCTCACCATGAGTTGGTTACCCTATCTTGCACTAGATATTTTCATCGAGTTTTCAAAGTGTAAATTAAATCAAGTCGAAAAAAGTTAAGAGCACTAATTTACAGTACATTCTCTTGCCACTGCTAACGGTATTTTTCCTTTTCCCCATGCACCGTATTCTTCAATAAAATTTTAGTGAATTTCTTTGTATTCTTGCACCACATTTTTCTTCCATGTTCTGCATTCTATGGCGTATATTTTATTGAGAGAAATCTAATATTCACCACACTGCCATTCGAAATAAATCCAATTGAATTGGAAATAACCGAAAATCTTCGCCTAACATTACCTCGCTTCGACTGCATATCTACTTTTAACCGTTCAAACGCCGCACGCCGCGCACCGCCTGCCAGCTTTTGTGCGCTCGACACATACATTTATTTATGTATAGACTCGTATATGGTTAGACTCAGAGATACCTGCAGGTTATACATTGAACACATTTGCATGTGAAATTGAACATGAAATTTCCATTAGAACTGAAATGGGCGGACAGCTTTAACTGACGGCTTTGTACCGCGCAATAGCTGAGCAATTCGAAATCTTCGTCGTCTTACCCTCGGTTTGCCGCGCTTTGACACTCTATACCTCTCTCTCTCTCTCTCTCTCTCTCTGTCACTATCCCTCAGTCCCTCAGCTGCGAAACCGCTTAACAATTTGTAAGTGTAAAGCATTTAAAGTTTGGCTAAGTACTTACATTTGCATTGCATTTATTGAGCGAGCTGGCATTTCTGTCGTCTGTCAGCCAAGTCAGCCATCCAGTCAGCTAGCCAACCATTCAACCAGCCATTCAAACTGCTGCCGCTGCCACAATTCACAAGCATTCACAGCATCGTATTGCTTGCTCTCCGCCATATTGGCACACGTTCGACAAACGCTGTCAGATAAAAGGAAATGACTGCTGCTGGTTATTACTGCCATCGACAAACAGCTGACTCCCCTACTCTTTGATCAACTTCCTTCCCTCTTCCACCCATTTAATATAATATTTAACTTGGCATAGTGTACGCGCGATACCTGGCGGCTGCTATGTGCTGTATTGTGTGTGTTTTTGTTGTTGTTGGCGTTAACTTTAGCATTGCGTTGCCAACTAACTCTGACAATTCAAAATGCAGCGTTGCTTTGACGGCAATATTCTGTGCAAATAAGTGGGTGGCGCATGCATTTTGCAGTAGTTGGAATGCCGGAAAGGGTGTGGAGCTACGAATGATATCGGCCAAAGCAATTACACAATTGCTATTATTTAGTTTGTGTACAGGCGGCGAAGAGGTAGAGAGATTGAGAGAGAGGCGAATAATATAAGTGAAGGTGTTCGCTACTTAACGGCAAACAAACCACACTCGTCCCCTCCCACACCCACCCACTTACTCGCGCAGTGGCGTTAATCTAGCTACATAAAAGTGGAAATAGCTTGTAGTGATAAGAATCCAATGTCTAAAAATACATTTCGCGGTTTTGTAGTAAGAGAAAAATTGGTTTTTCGTTTGCAATTCTTGTCGCGCGCTAAGTGCTTCGGTGGCCATGTCGCGTTGTAAGCATAAATGTGGTTGTGTGTATGTACCATAATTGCCAATAAATACTGATTGCATCGATCTGGCAATTATCCAAGTAATCTGGCACAGGTGATTATTGCGCCGGGAGTGCAAGTAGCTTGAGGAAAAAAATATGGTTTCTTTAAAGATTTAAGGAGATGTGGGGTCCACTAAGAAATAATGTACGGCTTGAGTTTAATTGAGTTGATGCGGCTGGTGATCAGTGACAAATCACTTAGCCTCCTGTCTTCACCTTCGCAAATGTTTAAAATTTTTTGTAAAAGCAACGAGGTAGCCAATTATCGTTGACGCTAGCTCAGCGAAGCAGGCGATAAAACCATAGGAACTTGTGTGAACTGTGCAGCCTGCTGAATGGCAGTGAGAATGAAGCATCTGGAAATAGTGAACCTGAACCCCAAATCGATTACGGTGGGAAAAACGTTCCATTACCTAATCTAGAAGAACGCAGAGGAGGAGTAAGAACTCTCTCCCTTGGAAAGACCAGGTAGAAAGGCACCTGGCTCTACTTTGTGTCTCCAATTCGCCTAAAATCGCGTAAGCGGGGTCTACGCCAGTAAACTAAGTAAGTAACTCATTCTTGCACGTGATCTTGCTCAGTCACCTAGAAGTCGTTTCTTTGGCGGTTTAGACATATATTTTCCAGTAGGCAAAGCATTTATTTTTTACATTTTATTGTGAATCTAAGGGTTCTGTCACTCATTAGTTCGTCTGCCATGTGATCGCCATGGATTTCACGGTGTCCGGCCACTCAGATCACGGCAGTGCTGTATTTAGTCGAGAGTTTGAGTAGCTACTCGTCGACTTCCGTGATTGCAAAGTGTTCTGCTTGGAAGACGCTGCAGTGGTCTGGTAGTCTATCGTACTCATATTTATTGTTAGCATTGGGGAGTAGACTCTGCAGCCCACATTTCCACCGAACTTTAAGCCATCGGTAAAGATAGCTTTGACTCTTTGATCGAGGACGTTGGAGAAGTCGCATTCATTTCTGTTTGGAATTCTCTTGGAAAAAAGATTATCGAAGGTGGTGCAGTCCAGCTCCATCGATTCTATTGCACTTTTGACGAGCCTTATACTGCAGTTCTTCCAAAGATGAGTATAGGTCCAGAAGAACTAAGTTAAGAAGGTT